GTAAGAGAGAACACAATAATTCAACCAAGTCCCCTGCATACCCTCGGGCTAAAATACTACACTGCAGAACAGTTTGAAACTCTTTTATTTGTATCCCTTTTAAGTTTTACGACATCTTTCAAACATTGCTCCTCCAGCGCCTCACATTTTCCTCACGTGCAGATGGAGTCGGAAGTTAATTTGCGTTTCCTTCCCTGTAAGTCAAGTGCTGCTGTTAAAAGCTCAGTCAAATACAGGGAGACAACACTCCTTCGGTAACCGCCTCAGGGGAGCCGGGCGAGGCAGAATACAGTGTATGTCATTTCATCCACCAAGTTTTTTTAATCTTCCCCCAAGGACGTGTGTATGGATTTTAGAGACAGGGACTGGGGACTGAACTTGCAAGCCAGGCACGCACCCTGACCAGAGATCGAACCCACGACCTTCCAGTTTGCAGGATGAAACCCTCCCATGACTGGACAGGACTCCACCAAGATTTTTTTTTAAGTTTTGTTTTCACACAGGAAGATTATTTTGACTCCTTTGGCTAAAAGGTTTCTCTATGACCTGGCATAAGAGATGGTGTAAAGTTGTCTTAAAATCTTTACATCAATTACACATGATCTGCAGGGAGAAAAAAATCATCCCCCTGCTTCCCAGTTACCCTATTGCCACTCAATACAAGAAATGTCATCAGATATACTTGTAAAGTTAGACTTCCAGTGAATTCCTCTGCGCATCGCCGACGTTCCTAACACAGAAAATTTTAGGTTTTCTTCAACATCCAGTAAGCAGGTGACACTATACATGAAAGAAGTCTGTGAAAACACTTATTCTGACTCTACTAAGTTTACTGGGGATGAAGAAGTAAAGAAAGGAAGGAGAAATTCACCACACGTGTTCTGGAGGGGGCCCCTGCATCTGCCGTTTGCACCCTCTGTTTGCAAGTGAGATAACGATGTGGTCGTTTCGCTGGTGGTCCCATTGCAGGTTTACAGCACTTGCCTATTTTTTCATCCTTATTGTTCTGACCTCTGTGTGGCCCCCGGCATAGCCACCTCCCCCCCTTGAAGCTCCCCTCTCTTCTTGGAACTTCATTGGATTTGCAACTCCTGAAACCTAAGCCTCCCTACAGTTGCCCCTGAGCTCCAAACACTTCCACCTGGAGAGCCAGAACACTCAAAACTCACGCTGTTTCTGCCCGTGCCCTCGCCTTCACGCCGGAGCCTGCTGCAGTGGTCCACTCCCAGCTGGTCACCAGGTCACCTGAATTCATCTCCCACATCATCTCTTCTGAGCCTTCCCTTGCCCTAATCATTGCTGTATTTCCACCTTTCATCATTTCTTACCCAGATTTCTGTCTGAGCCAGACTCGTGGGTGGCCCAGCCTCCAGTCTGCTCCCCTAGTGACCGAAGCTCCCAAGGGGCTTCCCCACTGCCTCACTGTCTTGTCCACTGCGCTCCTGTCTACAGTCACCTGGCTAACTTTGCAGCCTATCAGGGCACTAAATGGCTCTTGTGTGAGACCTGCTCGCTGCTTCGGCCTCACCACGTGCCACAAGCGACCACCCCTGCTCCAGCACCAGGAGACATGCCTCAGGTGCTCCGGCACCACCTGTCTCGGAATATGCATGTTCCCTCTGGCCGACACTGCCCTTTCTTTGATCTGCTTGGTTGCTCCCTATTCACTTTCAAGATGGCAGCTCAAATGTCACTTTCTCCAGGAAGCCTTCCCTAATCCACCATACCCTCTCCTCTGCAGTTTCCCGAACTACCAGCGACCAGTCTGGGCTAGGCTTCCAGACACTCGCAGTTTCTCCACCTTTCTCCTAACACTCACTTCACTGCAGTGCTGCTGCCTGCCGACCCCGCCCGCCTCCTCAGCTCGGCTGCAAGCACTGCAACCGAGTCCATTCCTGCTCCCCAGGTCTAGCGTGCTCACTCGGGGCTCGGCAGCTTCCGCTGAATGAAGAAAGGGATTCACAGGGGGCGGGGGCTGACCCACCTCACCCGACTCCTGCAGGTGTTTTCTTACTCTGGGCCCTTTGTCACTACCTTTCCTAAGCACCACAATATTTGAGTTAAGGGGACATCCTCAAGACGGAAAAATCTCTGTCTTCTGCTATTAAGCCATTCATTCCAAGTAGAAACCAAAGAACTGACAATGGGCCTTTCGGGTCCTGCCAGTGGCCTCACTCCACTCTCAGTATGGCTCTGACAACATCTTCTGCAATCCAGGCTTTCCTGCCTCTGACGCAGCCACGCAGGCCCTCCTGCTGGTCCTTTAAATCACCAGGCCCGTTCCTGTCTCAGGGCCTCTGCCGCTGTCTGGGCTGTCAGAACGCTTTTCCCCCAAGAGCTGCATTTCAGGACTCTGCGCAAATGCCACCTTCTCAGTGATGCCTTCTTTAACTGCTTCTTGCACCTCACACTGCCTATATTCCTGCTTCCCTACTCCGTTTTTCTCTGAATGCTGATCATCTGCGACACTACATATTTTAATTGTTTGTCTTCCTCAATGAATATAAGCTTCCTGTGAGTGGGGCTTCTGTCTGGTGTATTCCCTGCTGAACCCAGTACATGACAAGCACTCGGTGATTCATCTGGCACACTAGATTACAGTATTTCAAGCTTTTAAAAAGCAGGGCAAACAACACCAGTGAAAAAGGCAACCTAACTTAAAAATGGGCAAAGAACTTGAACAAACATTTCCTTACAGAAGACGTACAGCTGGTCAATAAGCAGCCAAAGATGCTAGTTATCCCTGACCAGTGGGAAATACAAAACCACAATGAGGCGCCGCCACTTTACACCCACTGGGATGGGTACTCTTTTTCTAAAAAGTAATTAGTGAGCGCTGGTGAGGAAGTAGAAAAATCAGAACCCTTGTGTTTTACGGGTGAGAATGTAAAATCGCACAGCTGATGCAGACAGCAGTATGATGGTTCCTCAAAAAAATCAAACGAAATTACCATACCATCCCGCAATTCCACTCTGGGAACAGATCCAAAAGAACAGAAAGCAGGGACTTAAACAGATTTCTATACACCGTGCTCACAGCTGCATCATTCGCGACAGCCGAAAGATGGGATCATGTGCTCATCGACGGGTGAATGGATGAACAACACGGTGTGTGTACATACGAAGGAGTACAAGTTAATATGCAGCCAAGGGATGAAATTCTGACCCATTCTGCATATGGATGAATCTCGAAGACATTATGACAAGCAAAATAAAGCAGACATAAAAAGACAAATATTGTATAATTCTATTTACATGAGGTACCTGGAGTAGTCAAATTCAGAGACAGAAAGTAGAATGGTGGTTGCCAGGGGCAACCTGGTGGGGGATGGAGGACCAGGAGAGAGGTTCTGGAGATGGACAGCGGAGACGGCTGCACAGCAACAGGGATGCATTTGATGCCACTCTGAACTGTGCAGCTAAAAGGGGTGAAGATAGTGAATGTTGGGAAACACAGCACATAACAGTAAAGAAGGCAGCACAGTGCGCTTAAGAACAGGAAGTTAAACCGGTGCTCCCAGCTGCACTTACAGGAGGAACTTAGCAAAGGAAAAACGCCATCGCCAACTGGCCCTGGGCCAAGTGTCAACCCTGACTTATTTTTACAGAAATCACTGCACATCCCAGTGGCAGAGGAAAACGGAAGGGAACGGGCAACATTACGTCACCGGCACCCATACGAAATTATCATCAATGTCGTGCATTTTCTAAGCCCTTTTCCGTGATAGCACAATGCTCCCAATCTGTCAAAGCAGGTATGAAAGAGCTTGTGTCCTCTCCAAATCAGCAAATAAACAAACACACAGAATGCAGCGGGCACGGCCCACAGAGCATGACACGGGTGAGGCGAACTCCAGGACAGTCGCCACTGATATGTACCGAGGGCTGATTAATCAAGACACTGTGCTCACCATTTTCTGTGGGATGTTGAACTTTATACTTCTGGCCAGCTTGTTCTAACCGTATTTAGTAATTACTACCATTATTACTCATTCTTATAGGTGAGAATACTGGGGCACAAAGAATAACTAACTACCCCTAAATGAAATGACTAAACAAGTGAGGGACGGCACCAAAACGTCTCACCCCAGCGCCTGCACACCAAGCTGCTACTGCTGTCTACCGCCTGTCTGCCTGCAAAGTCTCATCAATGCTTCTTTCGGCCCCGACACCGGCACTGAAGTCGTGCTCGCACAATAAATCAGTACTCTTCGTTCCTGAACATAAATGCAGTGAGACACTACTTCTTAGTCTACAAAGAGAATCCTCGGTCCTTTGCAAGCCTTTAAAAATTTGTATACAAAAATATCCTCAAGACTGCCAGAATAAATAGTCACATTTGGGTCATCCGTTCCATGTCTCTTTTCTGCAGGACTCAATCAGCTGCTGTGGGCAGAGTGCCAATCGTCCCCCGTCCCTTTCTGAGGGTTTCTTCTGAATTTTCTGAAGACGTCTGCTGTATGCTCCAGAAACTGGAGGGGGGAGAAACGCTCTGTGTTTTGCCTGGAGGGTCGCCCCCTGGGACGCCAGGGCCTTGGGCCAAGAGAAACAAGTACTGACCTGCTGCAGCGTCAGGCACAGGCCCCGCCCGGCGGGAAAGGGGCGGAAAGGGGCAAAGTCACAGCAGGGCTGCGAGCCAGGGGCATCGGTTATTTCCACCCCTTGTCAGTGGAAAGGAGCCAAACTAGCTCCTTCGCAAAACCCGTGCCCTGGCTACCTTAAAACCATCAAAAGTTCTTTACACTAATTCTTGCAATAAAGTCTATATATGATTTGAGTGTTTTATTTACTTTCAAGGTTAAAAACCTAAACACTGGTTCCTCGTGCATACGTCACCCTCAGCTTTGACTGACAGCCTGAGTAGAGACACACCACTCTGCTAACTCTGGCGACACTGCTTCTGTCTCGTCCATGACAGACCGGGATCAGCTCGAACATCTCACAGTGGGCGAGTGTGCGTGCTGCCCCCTCCAAGAACCGGGGATAAAGGAGGGTCTCACCGAGTTCTCCTTCAGTTGCAGCCCCTCCCCGTTGGGAAGGGAGGAGCGTCTCTTGGAAGAGTTCCTGTTGGGGGTGGACATAACGGTCCCTGCTTTCTTCTTCACGGTGAGCACTTCGCAGCTGGCTTGGTCCTCATTGTGTGTGCTCTTCCCGGCATTGATAACCCTGGAGAAGAAGCCAGAAAAAGTGTCAGTGATTTCCGAAAACCTGAGAGGTTAGTCTCTGGAGTCAGCCAGCACCGTCTCAACGCCTGGCAACCGTCTCAACTATCATTCCACTTAATGCAAAAGGTCCTTTTGTGTTCCCGAGTAACTGACTTTTTAAAAAATAAAGTTATATGAGCACACATGAAAACATTCACTAAGCCACAGTTCTGAGCTCAGCTCACCTTCACAGGTGTCTGACAGATATGATCAACTGCACTGACCCACTATAGCCAAAAAAAAAAAGAGAAGACAATCAGAAAGAGATCAGCTGGCTCAGGGAATTCTGTTGCATTTCTCCAAGTGATAAAGAGCAAAACCGCCATCAATCTTATCAAAGAGCAAGGCGGTACTTTACAGCACATTGTCAAATGCAGGGGAGCAGGGACTCAGTTTGCTATTGCCTGTCCCCTTTCCCTTTACACAGAGAGAAGTGAACGGACCAAAGGTTCACTCTTGTTACTTTTCACCCTGTCTTTCCTCCTGTGGAATACTCATCACAGTGTGTCACCATGCCAGGTTACAGGACACTGATTTGTACGTGTGGTCACATTATGATGGCACGGCATGTCGACACTTCTTTAGCCTGATTACTAAATGTTTTAAGCACAGGAAAGCTTCCGAAAAACATGCTACATTATTCATATACCTTTTTGTGTATTAGGTGACTGCAGATGGAGCTTGGGTTTCAGCACCGTCTTCTTATTAAGTAATTAAGAAGCAGCTAGAATAGATTTCCCGAAAGAGCTCTCCCTGATGTGCCATTGGCTGAGTTTTCTTTCCAAAACATCAACAGTGTCCTAGTCAGTGACACCATGAGTGTGGAGGATACAGAACTCAGTGGCAGGGAGAGAAAAGATGCTTTTACTTTAAGGTCAGATAAATGAAAATCCGCTCTGTAAGTGTGCTGTGCTCTGCCGCGGCATTAATCTGGCTGTGTTCTCTCCTAACCAGGACGACTGCCTTTAAATGACTTCTTCTTTACTTTTAAATTCTGAAATAATTATAGATTCAGAGAAAATCGCAAAAAATAGTCCTCTACAGATGTACCCTTCACCCAACTTCCCCGACAGACACATTTTACATAACCACACCCGAAACCAAACAAGCAATCGACACGATACAGCACTGTCAACCAGGCTGCAGGTCCACTCGCATCCCAGCACATTCGATGTGAAACGGTCTTTAGTTCCGAAGACTGAACAGATCTCCACGAGCCCACACACACACACACACCACAACCAAACAGGAGACGGAGCACATCGAGATCCGAGCGCCAGGAGACCTACGGGAGTGCGGTTCAATCACTCTTCTGCCAAAGCTTGATAGTCTACGGAGGTGTTTCATACCTTTTAACATATACTTTAAATTTCTTTTTTTTTAAGTGTAAGTATTTTGGAAAAAAGGCAACGATTTGAAAGTTCGTTCTCATCTGTTACATGTGAACACATAGGTGCCAGTTGATTTATTTTGCGCAGCCCTGGCATATACAATAAGCTTTCTAGCCTTCCTCTTTACTTGACCAGTATCACTTGATTGGAAGAAGAACTCAGCCCAAGGGAAGGACGGAAGATGGGTGGGTCAGATCTGTGTGTCTGCAGAGAAGCCCATGGAGCTGGTCCAGGGGGTTGCAGCGGGAGCTCCTAAGACACAACATGCACTTGACTGGAGTCTCCCTTTTACATCCACCCTGAGAGAATAAAACCAGGCAGAAGGAGGTTCAGAAATACCACCTGCCTCTTCTTAGTCACTGGCAGTGATGTCCAAAGCAACGCATTCAGCATGGACTGTTCACTGGATGGGGATGTAACGCCCCCGCGGTCTCCCACAGGAGCACCTTCCCCAGGGACAGCTAGGGAAGTAGAGGTTTGGCTGGGAAAACCAGTTCGTGACAACTGTCCCCTCCGTATTGTCCTCTGTACAACAGCCTGCTATTTCTGGAACTTGACGTCACACAGACCATTGCCTCCTAAACTTATGCTGTAGTCAGGTCTTTTTTTTTTTAAAACCAAAAAAGCATCACTGATCTCCAATAGCTACGTGCCAGGCTGACTCATCTGCCACTGCTCTTTTCCAAGTCAACAAAGCTGCTATAATTACATCAATCACGAAGCACTGTCCCCCGAAAGTGCTTTATTTTTTCTCTCTCTCAGCAGATATTATTAAACTCTGGACTGGACCAAACTTCAGCAAGAGACCCTAGAAACTGTATTTTATGTGCAAGTAAACCAGGGCCCTGGAAGACTGTGACTTGCACAAGGTCACATGGCTGAACACGGCAGGGCTGGGGACACACTTCTGAGGTCCCAGCACTTTCTGCTTCAGCTCTCAATGGTGTTATTTTCCTATTGGGTGTCTAGTCCCACGAGCTCTTGGTGCAGAGGGCTGTACTGCAATGACTCATGAAGCTGGAAAACTACAAGGGAACAATGATGGGTGGCCTTCCTTGGCGATTTCATGTTGAATACAGCTTGTGAGAGACACTAATGAAATACTGCAAAGTCAGAAATGGCAACCTAGGTCTTCCGCCAAGATGGAGGCATAGGTGGAAACACTGCGCCTTCTCGCACAACCAACTTTAAAAACAACAAAGTTTTAGCAACAAAAACGCAGCCAAACCACAGAAAATTGAACTACACGGAAGTTTGACAACAACGAACCCTTCAGCCAAACTGGTCAGAGGGGCAGAGCCAGCAGTAGAGTGGGGTCAGGCAGGAAAGATCTACCGGACCGATCCGGTGCGCAACCCAGGTGCGCCAGCAGCCGTGGGCAGATCCCAGGTGTGGAATAGCGGGCAGACCCACTGAGAGCACAAGGCGGTGCTCTCACTGAGGGCTGACCACGGTCACACATTCGCGCATAGATAAACAGGTGAAGGACCAAGCAGTGAGATAGACCGCGCAGGCCCCAGTGGCAGAAAGTAGCAGAGGGGACCACCATTGTCCCTCTCTGACCCCGCCCCCACATACAGCATCACAACCCAGCGACCTGGGTGGCCCCGCCCTGGTGAACACCTAGGGCTCCGCTCCTCATACATAACAGACATGAACAGACCAAAACAGGGTTCAAGAACAACTCAGAGCCCCAGAGCCGATAAATCTAAATGATGAAGAAATAGCCAAACTTTCAGATGCACAGTTCAAAACACTGGTGATCAGGATCCTCACAGAACTGGTTGATTTTAGTCACAAATTAGAGGAACATATGAAGGCTAAACTAAGTGAAATGAAGGGAAATGCACAGGAAACCAATAGTAATAGAAAGGAAACTGGGACTCAAATCAAAGGAGTGGACAAGAAAGAGGAAAAAAATGACCAAACGGAAAAGGATGAAGAAACAAGAATTCAAAAAAATGAGGAGAGGCTTAGGTACCTTCAGGACATCTTTAAACGTTCCAACATCCGAATTATAGGGGTACCAGAAGGGGAAGAGGAACAGTCAAGATTGGAAACCTTATTTGAACAAATAATAAAGGAGAATTTCCCCAAGCTGGCAAAGGAAATAGACTTCCAGGAAATCCAGGAAGCTCGGAGAGTCCCAAAGAAGTTGGACCCAAGAAGAAACACACCAAGGCGCATCATCATTACATTAGTCAAGATTAAATGAAGGAGAAAATCCTAGAAGCAGCAAGAGCTAAGGGGACAGTCACCTATAAAGGAGTTCCCATCAGACTGTCAGCTGATTTCTCAAAAGAGACCTTACAGGCAAGAAGGGGCTGGAAAGAAGTATTCCAAGTCATGAAATCCAAAGACCTACATCCAACATTGCTCTATCCAACAAAGCTTTCATTTAGAATGGAAGGACAATATAAAGTGCTTCTCAGATAAGGTCAAATTCAAGGAGTTCATCATCACCAAGCCCTTATTATATGAAATGTTAAAGGGACTTACCTAAGAAAAAGATAAAAAAGATGAACAGTGAAAGGACAGTAAACTCACAATCACTAAGAACCACACCTAAAACAAAAGCAAACTAAGCAAACAACTAGAACAGGAACAGAACCACAGAAATGGAGATCACATGGAGGGTTAGCAACAGGGGAGTAGGAGAAGGAGAAGGGGGGAGAAGGTACAGAAAATAAGATAGGGGGAGGGCAAGAACAGTATGGGAAATATAGAATCTAAAGAACTTGAGACACGTGGTCATAAACTAAAGGGGGGGAATGGTGGGGGAAGGGGTGTGCAGGGTGGAGGGGAATGAAGGGGGGAAATAGAACAACTGTAATGGCATAATCAATAAAATATATTAAAAAAAAAAAGAAATGTCAACCTAGTGCAAAGACAGGGGTCCCAATCCTGTAGACCTGTTTGGTCAAATATCTGATTATTATTCAGATGATAAAGCCACAGTAAATTAAAGACTTTGCCCTTTATTTAATTAATTATTTTATTTATTTATTTTTGGAGAGAGGGAGGATGAGAGGGAGAGAAGCATCGATGTGTGGTTGCCTCTCATGCGCCCCCTACAGGGCCTTGGTCTACAACCAGCCAAGTGCCTTGACTGAAAATCGTACCAGGGACCCTTCGTTTCATGGGCTGGCATGCAATCCCCTGAGTCACACCAGCCAGAGGCTGAAGTCTCTGTCTTTAAAAAAAAAATACAACTCTTATCCCATATTTTATATTATTTCACATTCCCTATACCATATAGCTTTAGGAGAAAGTCCTGATTCTTCTCAGTTTCCTCTGCTTTGAAAAGCTTGACCTCTAGTAACTTACTTATTTGATTTTGTTCAAAGGCAAAGGCTTTGTTTACTAAATGTAAATAAGCCCTTTAATTACATATAAGTTGAGGAAAACTTCACTTCCCAAGCTAAGGAGCATCATGCTATCAAAGATTTGATCATTTCTTTCAATGTAACAAGCAGCTGTATCAGCAGCTATGCTCACTCTCGTCCTACGCTCCAGCGTAAAGTCAGCACTTGCTTGAGATCAACGGGAATGACTGTTAGGTGTGCATTCT